CCCCCCCCAAACTTCTGAAACCAGGAGGGTTTGCCCTCACTTTGCAGACAGGGAAACTGAGGCACGGAGCAGGATGGCACTGGAGCCGGGCCATGGGGCGGCGGGAGCCGAGGGGCGCCTGGGGGCGGGTGCTGCGGAGAGCGGGCGAGAGAGTGGCCGTGCCCCCTTGATTTTGCAATGTGCTTTTTTCCAGCTCGGGCGGGGGGGTCCTTTCACCGCTGCGCGAAGGCAGAGAGCAGCGCGACAGCCCTTCTCCGTGTTTCGTGAGAGCGAGGATCCCAAAGAGGCGACGGGCGCCTCCCTGAGAGGATCCACCCGGCGCGGGGCTGAGAAACGTCGGCTCGGGGGCTCGCGGTTTCCCCGGGAAGCTCCTCCGCGTGAGGGGCAGAGGCCCGCAATGAGGATAGTTCCTGTTTTCAGGGCACCGGTGCAATCAGTGCCCAGCAAAGCGCAAGGGGCAGCTGCGTCGGGGCCCGTAGGGAGGAGAAGGAGCAATTTTGGGATGAGCTGGGGAGGAAGCGTATCCCTCCCTTTTGCTGACACCCTGCATTAGCCCTTTGCCCAGCGCTGGCGCGGGCAGGCCCCTCGTGAGCGCTGGCGGGTTCGTCGAGGGGACCCATAATCCCAGTTAATCCCTCGGTGGGAGCTGTAGGCTGCAGTCCTGATCTCTGCGTGCTTGCAGGCTGCGAGGCGTCCCTGGGATGCCTCTCTCCGCTGCCCCAACCCCTGGCGCAGAGGTCACACGCACGGGACCTGCTTTGGACGAAGCACCTTGGCAGGTAGGTGAATGGGGGTGGGGGGTGCAGAGCAGAGCTGTAGGAGGAGACGGGCTCTACTTGCAGATATCAATTGCTATGGGGTCAGATAAGGATGGGTTCAGAAGTTGGCGGTTTAATCATTTACTATGAACGGCTTCCGCTTATCTAGGCACCATCGTGGTAACATGCTGGCTCTTGCTCATACCCCTGCTGCCTTCTTCAGCCTGCTTCCCTGGCCTTGTCTGTGTCCCTCTTCTCATTAGTTTCAGCCTCATTTCATCCGACAAATCATTTCCTTAAGGTGCCAGGAACAGAAATCATAAGGACTCGCCCTACAGAAGTCCTGAAGCACGTCTGAAAATAGAATCGGAGAACGTGAGGGGGGAAGGGACCTCGGGGTCGCATCTAGTCCACCCCCTGCTCCAAGCAGGGCCAGCCCCAACTACATCATCCCAGCCAAGGCTTTGTCTACCCGGGTCTTAAAAACCTCCAAGGATGGAGAGTGCACCACCTCTCTGGGTAACCAGTTCCAGTGTTTTACTACCCTCCTAGTGAGAAAGATATTAAAAAAAAACAAACTTAAACTTCCCTTGCTGCAATGTGAGCCCATTGCTCCTTGTTCTGTCATCTGCCCCCGCTGAGAACAGCCCAGCTCCATCCTCTTTGCAACCCCCCTGCAGGGAGTTGAAGGCTGCTATTAAATCCCCCCTCAATCTTCTCTTCTCCAGACTAAATAAGCCCGGTTCCCTCAGCTGCTCCTCCTAAATCCTGTTCCCCAGACCTCAAACCATTGTCATTGCCCTCCGCTGGACTCTCTCCAATCTGTCCACATCCTTTCTGCAGCCTGCCCCTCACAATTTCTTTGCAATTCCTGCTATAGCACGAGCTTTCCCTCTCTGGGTCTTGTGTGCAGAAGAATCTCATGTCAAGCGGCATTTAAACAAAAAAAAAAGTTTGGAAGCTTCCTGCTTGTAGGGAGTGGAGAGCTTGTGTGTGTGAAGTGAGCACCCCCTGAAGGCAGGAAACCAAAAGGCAGTGAAAAAAACCCCCATATTTGATTCTTTTTTTTTTTTTAAAACAACCTCTCATGACTTTTAAGCCAATGCTGTGATTTGGCTGACGTGGGGGATGAGGGATGCTGATGTGGCAAAGCAAATGCAGGCAGGTATGGGCTTATGAGCGTGTTTCCAGTCTGACTGGAAGTGATTTGTCCCTTGGAAGCGAGCCCTCAGCCCGCAGCGACACTGTTCCCCCCCCCACCCGTCTGCCTCTCCATCCTCGTCTGTGGCATCACCCGCTTTTAGAGTTAGGAGACCCCTCCGGGCAGGGATCTCGACTTCTTGCATGGCTGGGAGGTGCCCCTGTGCCTGTGTGGTGCTGTGTACCACAATATAGTATCTGCTTGCGAATCAGCAGTGTCGGAGGCAGATGTTCCCTGACTTCAGGGAGAGACTTGGATGTGAGCTGAACACGTGCCCCAGGGTGAAGCAAAGGACTCCGACCCGAAGGGCAGCCCTGAGGAGTGGGAAAGGTGGGTTTGGAGCCAGGCGGCACTTCACAGGACCATGCACTAATATCTGGGTTCTCGCCTTACAGCACGTGGAACAGGGCAGCTCTGCTACACCACGGGCCAGGCCAGGGGCAGGTGGAGAGTCAGTGTGCTGATCTGCCCGCGGCCTGATCTAGGGTTCACGGGAGGCACAGGAGAAATCTCTTAAGACGTCTGGAATTTCTGAGCCCCTGGATCAGGACTTGGCACCCAGATCTGGCCTGTGAAGGCTGGGAGGGACATCAGTGGCACATGGCTTGGCCTGGCATGGTGCCCCGTCTGCTCCGTGCCGTGCCAGTGATCCACCCTGCAGTGACTTGCCTCCCCACCCCAGGGCAGGTGTTGCTTACCTGCTGTACTGAGCCCTCAATGCTGCGGGAAGATGGGGATGGGCTGCAAGGCAGGCGGAGGGCGCGGTGCCCCACTGCTGTCTGATTGCCAACCTCTGCCCTGGGTGAAGGGAGGGGGAGTGAGTTTGCACCAACTGCAGTATTTACAGCTCGGCCCAGATAAGCAGAGCACCAGACAGCCTGAGTGGACCAAGTTACTGCCCAAGTCCCTCCTTGGGGTCCTCTCCCTTCCTCATGGGCTGGAGCCAGGCTTGAACTGGATGAACCAGTCCTCATAGCTTTGACAAGGCAGGGATTGTTCCACTCCTGTCTGGGCAGGCGTGAGCTTTGCTCCTGGGAGCTGGTAGGAGGCAGGAACCGGGGTCATCCTCACAGGCGGGGGGAGACCTGGTGCTGGGACAGGTCAAACGCAGGGTCCGGATGTGAGAGCAGGACATATGCAGCCCAGAGCTGCCTGTAGGAAAGCAGGTGAGCGCATGGGAGGTTCATTGGGCTCTGTCCTGGGCATCCAGAAGTCTCTGGGGGCCTTGCCCATGGACCCCTGGAGGGTGCCATGCGGACATCGGACGCTGCCTGGCCATGCCCGCAGCCCACCTTGGAGCGGTGCAGGGGGGCTTCGCTGTAGGGCATTGCAGTGAATGCTGGGCTATGTAGTGCTACCCAGCTCCCCTCTGTATGGGCTTATTTTGGGCCAGGGGTTGTAACTTAGTGAGAGCTGCCATTGCTCCCAGCACATCGGTTCTGCCACCGCTCTCAGGTCTTGGCCAGGGGAAGAGGAGACAGACTGAGGGAGGGAAAGGCAGAAAGGGGCCTGACACGGGGGGGAGGTACACTCATCATCCCCACCCCAAGCTGCCCCCCTTGGCCAGGGATCCTGCGCCGCGGCTGCCTGCATTGATATTCCGGGCACAGAGATCTTTGCAAGCCCAGCTCCCTGGAGCGAGCCCAGGAGGGGGGATGGGGGGAGTCCATTTGTGTGCAGCAGACAGAAACTCCCAGGAAGCAGCCGGGTGCCTTTAAAAGCAGTCGTGTGAAGATCATTTCTTGTGGACTTTGCTCCTTTGGGGGCTGGGGCAGGTAACAGGAGTGGGACCGGGACTGAGCTGGGGCAGCCATCCAGCACTGCGTGGGCTGCGCTGGCGGGGTGAGGTCTCTGTGCCATGTACAGCTCCAGGCACGGCCCCAAATGGCTTGTGAGGAGCTCTAGCAGGTGCAGCCAGGCTCCCCCGGGCACTGGGCTGGCACTGTGGGGCTGGCGGGTAGAGGGGAGGGCGTGGGGGGCAGCACAGCCGAGGGGATGGCTGGTCCTGGCACGAGGAAAGACGGTCTAGCTTGCGCTGAAACCACATCTTCTCCTGCCTCCTCCCTGCTTCCCTGCGCGCTCCCTCCATCCTGTCTGTCTGTCTGCCTGCTGGCTCTATCCTTTATGCTTAGCATTGTGGGCCATTCTGCTTGTACAGCGCCGAGCACCTGTCCCGGTCCATGGCTGGGGCCCCCAGGTGCTTCCACCCTGCAGGGGATGCCTGCTGTATAAACAAGTACAGCACCCGCCCCGGGGTCCAGGGCTGTCCGCAGGCAGCTGGCACCACGACGGGGTGGAGAGGGGAAGCTGTAGGCATTGCGTCTCCCTGGAGACTGTGCTACATCTTGGCTTCCCTTCACTCCCGTGCTCGTTGTCGGCTGCATGCAGAAGGCACCCAGAGCCCCCCAGTTCATGTCTCCCATGGCATCTTTCCCACCCAGCTTCAGATCCTGAGCTGCTCCAGAAAGCAAAAGGCGTCCGCCGTGCCTGGCACAGGGCCATGCCCAGCGGTGATGGCCGAGGTCGACCTCCTGGATGTGCCCTCCCTGGACAAGGCAGCCGGCGAGGAGTTTCTGCAAGAGGCCTTTGGGGTCATCCTGGAGGAGGCCGTCAGGAGGGGGACAGATGTCACCGAGAAGGTGGGGCTCCGGTGGAGCTGCCCGGGGACCACGGTGGCGGGGTGCGGAGAGGTTTTCTGCTCGCTGTGGGGTGCTTTGCATGGGGTTTGGACCTGTTCTTGCCACTAGGCCACGGGCCCTGTGGCCAAAGGCTGCGCCAGCAGCTGGTTGGGAGCCCCCAGCCCCTCTAACATGGGACCCCGTGAGCCTGTCAGAGAAGGGCCCAGGGGGAAGGGCTCAGAGCCCCCTCCCTGGGCTGGACCAGGCTGTCCTGTGCCCCCACAGGTCTGCGACTGGAAGGAGCCTGAGGACCTGCGGCACCTGCTGGACCTGGAGCTGCGGGGCCACGGGGAGCCCCAACCGCAGGTGCTACAGCGCTGCCGCGACATCATCCGCTACAGTGTGAAGACATGTAGGTGATGTGGGCACTGGCTCCACCCCAGGGCCACCCCAGGGGACATGGCTCTTCTGTACACCGGGATATGGCGATGCATCCCCCCCGTGTCTGTACCAGCGCGCACGGGACTGACGCTCCCAGTAGCCACAGGCCAGGGAGGATAAAAGCCCTACCACTGCTACAGCTAAGAGCACAGCTCCAGGGGGTGGGGGGCTGTGTCTGCAGCTCCTGGGTCCCCCCACTACTGGACTCTGATGAAGTTGCCTCACCTCTATCCTGGTGGTAGCACAGACCCAGCCTCTGTTCCCCTCTCTGGTGTCCTGCTACAGGCCCTCTCTGTCTCCCCAGGCCACCCCCGGTTCTTTAACCAGCTGTTCTCCGGGCTGGACTATCACGCGCTGGCCGGACGGATGATCACAGAGACCCTCAACACCAGCCAGTATGTCCCTGTGCCCCTTCCCCAGCCTGGAGATACATGAAGGCGTCACATCATGCTGGAAGCTGGGGGAGCTGGGGGTGGACAAAGCCCTGGGAGGGAGAACGCGGGAGCTGTTGGCCCCAGGAGGGACGAGGGACTCTGCCCCATGAGGCTGCAGGGGTAGGGGCAGCAGTGGGCTCCTTCTGCTCCCTGCTTTGCAGCCTCATTGATCTGGTCCTGGGCCCCTACAGCTCTGCTGATGCCCCTCGCTCCCAACCCGCAGCCCCTCCTGCCTCCCTGGGGTCAGACACCTGCCAGGTCTCACTCCCCTCCTGCCCCACTGTGTAGCCCCAGGTATTTTAGGGCATGCCCCCTGCCTCACTGTGGGGGGGGGTGGGGGTGCTGCGTGTTGCAGGTACACATATGAGATCGCGCCCGTCTTTGTGCTCATGGAGGAGGTGGTGCTGCAGAAGCTGCGGGAGCTCGTGGGCTGGGGCAGCGGAGACGGGATCTTCTGCCCAGGTGTGCCAGGCCTAGCCGGGCCCAGCTCCCCCCCCTCGGGTTAGCTGTGCCCAGCCCCGAAGCCAAGCAACTCCCAGGGGGTCTTTGGCCCAACCTGCCCCTTCTCTGCCCTTTGTCCCCTGTCTCAGGGACCCTCCAGCCCTCTTATCTCCTGGGCTGGACCAGGTGCCTCTGCGTCTGCTCAGGCAGCCCCATGCTGAGTCAGCAGAAGGGCCCATGGAGGGCAAGCTTCCTCCCAGCAGTGTCCTCGTGGTCCTTGTCCATAGCAGCATGCAGTCTGTGCCCGTGAATCCCAGCTCAGGGCAGCCCCTTCTGTTCCGTGCCCCCAACCCAGGCTGACCAGGCTAGGTTCCTGGTGACCTCAGTGTTTTGCTTCCCCGCAGGCGGCTCCATCTCCAACATGTATGCCATGAACGTGGCCCGGTACCACCGCTTTCCCGATTGCAAGCGCCGGGGCCTCTGGGCGCTGCCGCGGCTGGCTGTCTTCACGTCGGAGGAGGTGCGGCTGGGTGGGGTGCTGGGGTGCTGGATCTCTGCTCCCTGGGTGGGAGCCGCAGTGATGGGTGGCTGCGGGTCCGTGCTAGGGATTGCTAGGTGTTGCTGCAAGAATGGAGATGGCCTGGGCACCCAGCAGAGCCTGGGGCAGCCCGTGTCTCTGAGCCATTGGAGCAGGGGTGTCTAATGCGTCAGGCCCTGCACTAGATCCGGTCCGTGGCCCGTGCGCTTGTCCCCCACCTTAGCTGCTTGCCCATGCAGTGCAGCCAGTGCCTGGTGGGCAGGAGCTGACCCTTTCCTTTGCCACTCCCAGTGCCACTACTCCATCCAGAAGGGAGCTGCTTTCCTGGGCATCGGCACAGACAATGTCTACCTGGTCGGCGCCGATGAGAGGTGCAGGGCAGGCGTGGGGATGGCTGGGGGGATTGGACAGATCCAGGGGTCCCTGACGTTCCTGGTACAGTTACCCCGCTGTGGCAGAGGGAGGCTGGCATGGGCAGCTGCTTCTGCCCTGCCCTCTTCAGCAAGCTCTGCTGGCACTGCAGGGGACCTGGAGACCTCCCCCCATAGCTGGGAGAGGATGGGACTAGAGCTGCTGCTCCCTCCTCCCCTCCCACACACACAGCCATGCCCCCATCCCAACTTCTGGCAGCAAGGGGCAGGGATCGCAGGACCTGGAGGGGCTGGGGTCTGGGCAGCTTCCCAGTAGCCATTGCACACGCAGTAGCCTGGGTGGATTTGGCTGGTGCATTCGGTGGGTTTGGGGGTTGTGGAGGGCTGGCACTGACCCTTTCCAGGACTCAAGATGCCCCAGACCCCCCTCCCCCAGACTGGAGTCCAAGCCTGGCCCTGACCTGAGCTCTGCTCCCAGGGGAAAGATGATCCCGGCCGAGCTGGAGAAGCAGATCAGCCAGGCACAGATCGAGGTGAGTGGGGTGGGGGGCACCAAGCCAGGGCTGGGAGCTGCAAGGGCAGCCCAACACACTGCCCGGCCTCCAACCCGCTCCCTTTTGCTTCCAGGGCGCTGTGCCCTTCTTTGTCAGTGTCACCTGTGGCACCACTGTCCTGGGGGCCTTTGACCCGCTCATGGCCGTGGCTGACGTGTGTGAGCGCCACGGGCTCTGGTTTCATGTGGATGTGAGTCCCCAAGGGAGGAGAGAGCGGGAGGGTCAGGGTGGATTGTGTTCTTGGGCCCAGGGATGGTGGCAAGGGGCCAGGGGACTCAGGGTAGGGAACGTGGCTGGTCACTTGACCCCTGTCCACCCACCCCTGGATTGTGGCCTCTGCTGGTGGCTCCTTCAGTCCTTCAGTGCCTTCCAGCAGTCCCCCTGGGTTGCTCAGACACTTGTTATCCCGTGCAACCAGCCCCGGCCCCAGGCCAACTCCCATATGAGCCCATTCCTGGACTTGGAGCCCCAGTGGGGATGCCAGCAGTAGCCAATCTGCAGCCCGGCCACCCTGTGCTGCACCGCTCCCCTTGGCTGGTTGTGGGGGGTGGGTGTTGGGCAGAGACTCCCCAGGAGGGGTGCCACTGCCTATTAGCAGCTGCTCTGGCTCAGAGGGCTCATCTTCCCCTTCCTCACAGGCTGCATGGGGTGGAAGCGTCCTGCTGTCCCAAAAGCACCGGCACCTCCTGGACGGGATTGAGAGGTGAGCGCTGCCCATGTGGGGGAGGGAGCGGAGCAAGGCGCAGGTTGCAACACAGGCCTATAAATGGTTGCAAGAACATGGGGATGTAATAATGGGCTCAGGGCTGGGCCTGGGGCTGCTCCGACTTAGCACTAAAGACCCGCAAAGAAGCATCTTGTCCTGTGCAACCCGCAGCTCCGAGTCTCTGGGGGCTGTATCAGTCCACAGCCCCCCATGAGAGCCCACCCCCAGCCCCTGCATCCAGCCCTGGTCACTAGCTCCAGACCCCCAGCCCCAGCCAACGCTGATCTCTGAGTCTGTCTCTCCCTTGCAGGGCAAATTCGGTGGCCTGGAACCCCCACAAGATGCTGACGACTGGCTTGCAGTGCTCGGCCTTCCTGCTTCGCGACACATCTGTACGTACCTGCCCTGCTGCTCCCCACACCCCCTGCGGGAAGAGGCTGGGGCCGGAGTAGCTCCTGGGCAGGACTGGAGTGGAGGGTGCTTCCCCTTCTGCCCCTACAACATCCCTTGCTGGCTGTGGCTGGAAGCAGCATCGCTAGAGGCACCTCGAACCATCCCGGGTCTTACTGGTCCTGCTTCTGGCTGGCTGACTCGCTGCCTGGCCCCCTTCCCTTGGCAGGGCCTGCTGCATCGATGCCACAGCGCCGGAGCCACCTACCTCTTCCAGCCTGACAAGTTCTACAACGTGGCCTGGGACACAGGCGACAAGACAGTGCAGTGCGGGCGCAAGGTGGACTGCCTCAAGCTGTGGCTGCTGTGGAAAGCCGTGGGCACCGAGGGGCTGGAGAAGCGTGTGGACCGCGCTTTTGCCTGCACCCGGTGAGCATGGGCAGGGCATGCCTTGGGAGCTGGCCCCAAGCGCCACAGAGCAGACACAGAGCATCAGCTCATGCCTGCTCCCTTCATCTGCTCCAGGTACCTGGCGGAGGAAATAAAGAAGCGGGAGGGTTTCCAGCTGGTGATGGAGGTACGTATTGTACAGGGCTGTGTAGTGGGGCCAGAGTGACCCAGAGCAAGGGGGCCCCATCAGGTCATGCCCCCCCATTCTCCTGCCGCGGGGCCACGTTCGTGGGCAGCAGCTGACGTCCCCTATCACCTGAGTCTGCCGGGCTGACTGGGGTGCGGCAGTTAGGAAACACCAGGCAGGACTCCTGGGTTACTCTCTCGCTTGGCTTGCTCTGGGACCATGATCCAGAAACGCTTTATGCCTCAGTTTCCCCAGTTGTAACACTGCCCTGATTCGCTGGGGCCCCCTTGAGACTCTCAGGTGCTGGGGAAATGGGTAAGCCTGGGTCCCGGACCCCGCTTCACCCCTAGGTGAGATGATGCCACTTTGCGGGGTGCTTGGTGGCTAGTGACCCTCGCTGCAGTGCAAGCCAGCCCCGGGGTGCTCCAGGGCAGTGCAGGTGCGGGTGCCTGTTGAAGGTCCCAGGAGTGTCCCTCGACATGCAGCAGGGAAGCCCTGTATGTCCTTAACAGGGTTCCCTGTGGTGACCCCTTCTTCTCCCCCTGCAGCCTGAATTCATCAATCTGTGCTTCTGGTTCGTGCCACCCAGCCTGCGGGGCAAGCAGGCCCAGGCCAACTACTGGGAGCGTTTGGGGAAGGTGAGTGCAGGGGGCCCTGCTGGATCTCGTGCTTCTGAACATCATGGCAGGGACTTCGACAGGTACCTAAGGGAATTAGGCATCAACTCCTGGTGAACCTCAGCAGGACTTGAGTGTCTGGCTTCCTCCATCCCCTTTGAAACCATCTAAAGGTGCAGGCTGGGCGTCTGCTCCGTGCCTGCCCCGGTGCCAGGCTGATCCCCCTGCCCTCTGTGCCCAGGTGGCCCCAGTCATCAAGGAGCGGATGATGAAGGCGGGCTCCATGCTGGTGGGTTACCAGCCGCACGGCAGCAAGGCCAATTTCTTCCGCCAGATCGTCACCAGCCCCCTGGTCACCAGGCAGGACCTGGACTTCTTCCTGGATGAGATTGAGAGGCTGGGCAGGGACCTGTAGGGAACCAAGCTCCCTGCCCTGTCCCCATCACTCCTCCTCCATGGGATGCCCCCAGGACGCTTGTGCCCATGATACTTTCTACTCTACCCATGGGGGCCCAGCTCCAATGCCAGTCCCAGCGGGGCAGGGGTGCTGGAGCTGCAGGGAGACACCTCGGTCCTTTGCAGATACAAAGCCTGGTGTTTATTGAGAATAAAAATCCTTTGTAAGTGGGGCCGAGCAGAGTTCAGGGTGGGGGGCCTCCACCCCACCTCCACTGCACTGGGCTTCACTGGCACTGGATCCCAGCTCCTGAGATATCCTCTTTGCCCCAAACCCCTTGTCACCGCCTCTCCAGCTGGGAACAGCCCATGTGCCAGCTCCTGTCCCACTCAGCCCTGCCCTGGCTTCAGGAGGCAATCCAGGGCCTCGGGCTGCAGGGGCACTTTCTGGGCAGAGAGGATGCTGTGCAGGTGGGCAGCCGTGGCTGCCCGCCCCTGTTGTTGCCTCCACTCGAGCAGCATGCCAAAGGCCTGCAGGACCAGGTCGCCACGGTGGTCCTCTTCCACCTGCTCCAGCTGGTGATACTCCAGCCCAAGGAACTGGATCCCAATCTGGCGCCACTTCCGGCCCATGCAGCTGGCCAGGTTCATCAGCTGTGACTGTGACACCAGCCTCAGCCGCCCTGCTGTGGAGGGGACTGGAATCAGCGGGTGGATGCTGGGGCGGCTGCCTGGGGCTCCTTCCCTGCTGCTTGGGGCAGAGTGGGGTCAGAGCTCCCTCATGTCCCCTGCCCTTGTGTCATCCCCTCCTGGGACTGGTGTCCCTGGGAGCTCCCCCAATGCCCCCTGCTGGGACAGGCCAGCTCTCCCTGGCCCCGTTACCCACCTGGGGCCAGGGCTGGCTCATGGCCCTTGGCAGCAGCCCCACTGGCCCCGCTGGACGCAGCTCTGTCTTTTGGGGGCTGGAAGCACTGGGCCAGGTCAAGTCGGCAGATCAGCTCCAGCAACTGCAGGGTCAGCTCTTGGGAATTGTGGGAGTGACACCGTAGCATCAGGTTGACGGTCTGCTCGCGCGAGGCATTGGCCAGGAGCTCCCAAGCGATCCGGGGCTCGGGCGCTGAGTGCCGCAGGAAGAACTTGAAGTTATTGAACTGCTCCTCGTCCAGCTCCTGCAGGAGCCCTTGCAGCTGCTTGGCCATGGTGATTCCTGAGGGCCTGGGCACCGGGCATGGCCAGGGTCACGGGGGGGCTTTGGGGACCCCTGTGCTTCTGGCTGCCCCCAGGCCCCAGTGCCCTGCTCCCCGGCCAGCCTGGCTCAGCCCCGTGCCCTCTCCCCTGCACCCCCCCCACAACCTCAGTGCCCCTCATATGCAGCGCCCGCCAGGTGCTCGGCACTGCACGGGACTCACCGCGCCCAGATCGTGCCACGGGGAGAAGGGTCGGAGCGGGTGACATTCATGATTGAGCACGGAAAAAAACCCCACTGGTTTTGGTTTTGGTTTTGCTCTGGCTCTTCCTTCCTCTGCTGCGTGGGGCCCGGTGGGGACTGGGGCACTCTGAGCACAGCAGAGGCACCCCTGGAGGGGGTGTTATCCCCCAGAAAATGGGGGTTCCCTCTGGAGGGGGCACTTTGCTGCTATACAGCACCTTTGGAGATAACCCCCAACCCCTGGCACTGCATTTGCTGCCAGCCAAATGCCAGTCACCTGGGAAGGGGCATTGGCTTCACACACGGGGAAAATTGAAGCGTTTGGGTGTGGGCAGGGCAGGTGGCTCTTTGTGGCTGTATCCCCCTGCCCCGCCTGATCTGCTGCAGAGATGTATCCTGGATGCACCAGCTGGAACGACGGTGCACGGATGCCCTCGTGCGAATGGTGCTTTACTGGTAGTGGGTGCTGCGGGGCACAGGCCTCCTGTACGGTGTGATGAGGCAGCATCGTGCTAACAGCAGGAGCCAGAACGAGCCCAGGGGTAGAAACCAGGCCCCAGTGCTGTGCCAGCCCAGCTGGGAGCTGGGAGAGCTTGGCTGGGCAGGCAGGGAGATGCCAGGGGAGCCCCAATTGCCATGCCCATCTAGAGGGGACTGGCAGCTGCCTGAGCAGAGAGGGGTCTGCAGGGGCCCCAAGGGCAGGCAGGGCTGTGGGGCTGGGAGCTTTCACAGCAGGTGTTGGGGGACCAGTGGTGCCCAGTGCGAAGGGAGCTGCAGTCCCCAGAGCTGGGTCTAGGATGCAGGAACGAGCCCAAGGGGCTGGGAGCAACAGCAGTGGATCCAGACTGGAGGAGTGAGCGGTGCAGAACGATGCACGTGGGACCAGATGCCCGGAGATGCCAGGCCAAGCGGGGCCCAGCTACCTCCCTCACATGGGGCAGGATCAGGAGCGAGATGTTAGCAGCCCCTGAGGACCTGGAGCTGCGGGGCCGCAGGGAGCCCTGGCCGCAGGTGCTGCGGTGCTGCCGCAACGTCATCCACTGCAGTGTGAAGACACGGAGGTGACGTGGGCACTGGCTCTACCCCCGGGCTGCTCTGCAGGACACAGCTCTTCTGTGCACAGGGAGATGGCGATGCATTCCTAGAACGTGCCAGGTGAGCCGAGCCCAGTTCACTACGTGGGACTGGCAACCCCAGTGGCCACAGCCCAGGGAGGATAACAGCTCTACCACTGCTACAGCTAAGAGCACAGCTCCAGGGGGTGGGGGCTGTGTCTGCAGCTCCTGAGTCCCCTCAACGCTGGCCTCTGTGTTGAAGTTGCCTCACCTCTATGCTGGTGGTAGCACAGACCCAGCCTCTGTCGCCCTCTCTGGTATTCAGCTACAGACCCTCTTTGTCTCCCCAGGCCACCCCCGGTTCTTTACCCAGCTGTTCTCCGGGCTGGACCATCATGCACTGGCTGGACGGATGATCACAGAGACCCCCAACACCAGCCAGTATGTCCCTGTGCCCCCTCCCCAGCCTGGAGATACATGGAGGTGTCACATTGTGCTGGAAGCCGGAGGGGCTGGACAAGGCCCTGGGAGGGGGAACGTGGGGGCTGTTGGCAATGCAGCGTGGGCACAAGGTGGCTGCTGTGGAAAGCCGTGGGCACCGAGGGGTTGGGGAAGCACGTGTACCGTGCCTTCACCTGCACCCGCTGAGCACGGGCAAGGGATGCCCAGGGAGCTGGCCCCAGGCCCCACGGAGCAGCTGCAGAGCACTGACTCACGGCTGCTCCCTTCATCTGCTCCAGGGACCTGGCAGAAGAGATGAAGAAGCGGGAGGGTTTCCAGCTGGTGATGGAGGTACGTCCTGTGCAGGGCTGTGAAGGGGGGGCAGAGTGACCTACAGCAAAGGGGCCCCATCATGCCACATCCCCCCATTTTCCTGCCATGGAGCCACATTCATGGGCAGCAGCTGATGCCCCCGATCCCCCAAGTCTTTGCAGGGTAGAGCGGGATGTGGCAGTTAGCAAACACCAGGCAGGACTCCTGGGTTCCTCTCCCGCTTGGCTTGCTCTGGTACCATGGCCCAGACACGCTTTATGCCTCAGTTTCCCCAGTTTTAACACTGCCCTGGTTCACTGGGGCCCCCTCGGAGACTCTTAGCCAGCAGGTGCCAGGGTACTTTTTTTGTACAATATATTTCTATATAGACATATGTTTTTATATATATACA